TGGTGCTTCCTCCGATGTGCCCCACGTCCCTGATGCCTGGAACTTCTCGTGCGACGAGATAGTGGACGACCTCCTCGCCGATATGGACATGGGCGGCTACCCTACTGACGATGCGGTGCGCGCTTGTTTCGACCTTCCTCCTCGTCCTGGTGTGTTCCATGGACTTCGCAGCCCTCGGCCTGGATCTGATCGTGCTGGCATGCGGGATTTCTGGGAGATGGCGGCTGTGACGAGGGTTCGGCTGCCACATATATCTGATTCGGGGCCGCGCGAGCCTCTTCGCATTGCCTCGGAGCCGCCCATCGCTATATGCAATAGTAGCACGGATTGGGAGTCGCTGAGAATGGATATGACTCGTTGCCCGCTGACTGGCCGACGGCTCGCCGCAGAGGAAATCGAAGCAGAGCGATTAATGGCGCGAGGAAAAAAACGTCGTCGTTGTCGTCGTCGTCGTCGTCGCCGTCGCCGTCGCCGTCGCCGTCGCTGTCGCCGTTGCCGTCGCCGCCGCCGTCGCCGTCGTCGTCGTCGTCGTTGTCGTCGTCATCGTCGCCGTCGCCGTCAACGTCGCCGTCGTCGTCGCCGTCACCGTCGCCGCCGCCGTCGCCGTTTCCGTTGCCGCGGCCTCGCCGATTCCGTCGCCGCCGCCGTCGCAGTTTTTGTCGCCGTCGTCGTCGTCGTCGTCGCCGTCGCCGTCGTCGTCGTCGTCGTCGTCGTCGTCGTCGTCGTCGCCGTCGCCGTCGCCGTCGCCGTCGCCGTCGCCGTCGCCGTTGCCGTTGCCGTCGCCGTCGCCGTCGCCGTCGCCGTCGCCCTCGCCGTCGCCGTCGTCGTCGTCGCCGCCACCGTAGTCGTCGTCGTCGTCGTCGTCGTCGGTCGTCGCGTCGTCGTCGCGTCGTCGTCGTCGTCGTCGTCGTCGTCGTGTCGTCACGTCACCGTCGCCGTCGCCGTCGGTCGTCGTCGTCGTCGCCGTCGTCGCGTCGCGTCGCCCGTCGTCGTCGTCGCCGCCGTCGCTGTCGCCGTCGCCGTGGCCGTGGCCGTCGCCGTCGCCGTCGTCGCCGTCGTCGTCGCCGTCGCCGTTGTCGTCGTCGCCGTCGCCGTCGCCGTCGCCGTCGCCGTCGCCGTTCCCGTCGCCGCCGTGGCTGCCGCCGGCGCCGCCGCCGTCGTCGTCGCCGTCGCCGCCGTCGACGTCGCCGTCACCGTCGCCGTTTCCGTCGCCGCCGCCGTCGCCGTCGCCGTCGTCGTCGTCGTCGCCGTCGTCGTCGTCGTCGTCGTCGTCGTCGGCGACGTGCGTCGCCGTCGCGTCGCCGTCGCGTTCGCGACGCCGTCGCGGTCGTCGCAGTTGCCGTCGCCGTCGCCGTCGTCGTCGTCGTCGTCGCGCGCTCTCGCCGTCGGTTGTCGTCGTCGTCGTAGTCGTCGTCATCGCCGTTTGCCGTCGTCATTCGTCACCGTTCGCCGCGCCGTCCCGTCGCCCTCGTCGCTGGTCGCTGTCGCCGTTGTGCCGTCCCGTCGTGTCGCGTCGTCTTCGTCGTCGTCGGTCGTTCGTCGTCGTTTCCGTCGCCGCCGCCGTCGCCGTTCGCCGTCGTCGTCGTCTCGCCGTTGCCGTCGCCGTTTGCCCTTGCTGCGCCCCTCCCAAGTCGCCGTCCGTCGTCGTCGTCTCGCGTCGTTCGTCGTCGTCGTCGTCGTTCGTCGTCGCGTCGTCCGCCGGTCGCCCGTCGCCGTCGCCGTTCGCCATCGCCGTCGCCTCGCCGTCGCCGTTTCGCACGCGGTCGCCTCGCCGTCGTCGCTCGTCGTCGTCGTCTCGTCGTCGTCGTCGTCGTCGTCGTTCGTCGTCGCTCCTCGTTCGCGTTCGCCTTCGCCGTCGGCCTTTCCCCGTCGCGGTCGCCGTGTTCGTTCGTCGTCGTCGCCCCGTCGCCGTCGCCGTCGCGTCGTCGCGTCGCCGTCCGCGCCGTCTCCTCACGCGTCGTCTTCGTCGCCGTCGCCACCGCATGCCGCCGCCGCCGCTGCCGACGTCGTCGTCGTCGTCGTCGTCGTCGTCGTCGTCGTCGTCGTCGTCCTCGTCGCCGTCGTCGCCCGTCGCGTGTCGCTCGTCGCCATCGCTGTCGTCCTCGCCGTCGTCGCCGCCGCCATTGCAGTCGTCGTTGCCGTCGTCGCCGTCGTCGCCGCCGCCGTCGCTGTGGCCGTCGCCGTCGCCGTCGCCGTCGTCGTTGTCGTCGCCGTCGCCGTCGTCGTCGTCGTCGTCGTCGTCGTCGTCGTCGTCGCCTTGTCGCGTCGCCATCGCCGTGTGTCGTCGCAGTCGCCCTCGTTGCGCCGTTCGTCGTCGTGTCGTCGTCGTCGTCGTGTCGTCGTCGTCGTCGTCAGCTTCGTCGTCGTCGTAGTTGGCGTCGTCGTCGTGGTCGTCGTAGTCGCAGTCGGCCGTCGCGGTCGCCGTCGCCATTCGTCCGTCGTCGTCGTCGCCGTCGTCGGCCTCCCGTCGTCGCCGGGCCCCGTCGCCGTCGTCGTCGTCGTCGGTCGTCGTCGTCGTCGGTCGTCGTCGTCGTCGTCGCCGTCGCGGTTTGCCGCCCGTCGCCGCCGCCGCCGCCGTCGCCGTCGCCCGTCGCTGCCGCGTCGTCGTCGCCGTCGCCGTCGTCGTCGCCGTGCCGTCGTCGTCGTCTTCGTCGTCGTCGTCGTCGCAGGCGCCGCGATGTTGTGTCGTCGCCCCGTCGCCGTCGACTGTGTCCGTCGCGTCGCCGTCGCCGTCGTTGTTGTCGCCGTCGCCATCGCCGTCGCCGTCGCTGTCGCCGTCGCCGCCGCCGTCGCTGTTGCCGTCGCCGTCGTCGTCGCCCGTCGCCGTCGCTGTGGTCGTTGTCGTCGCCGTCGCCGTCTCCGTCGCCGTCGTCGTCGTCGTCGTTGTCATCGTCGTCGTTGTCTTTGTCGTCGCCGTTGCCGTTGCCGTTTCCGTCGCCGTCGTCGTCTTCGTCGTCGACGTCGTCGTCGTCGTCGTCGTCGCCGTCGTCGTTCGTCGCCCGTTGTCGGCGCCGTCGCCGTGGCCGCCGTCGCCGCCGCCGCCGTCGTCGTCGCCGTCGCCGTCGTCGTCGCCGTTGCCGTCGTCGCCGTCGTCGCCGCCGCCGCCGTCGTCGTCGTCGCCGTCGTCGTCGTCGTCGTCGTCGTCGTCGTCGTTGTCGTCGTCGTCGTTGTCGGCGTCGTCGCCGTCGTCATTGTTGCCGTCGCCGTCGCCGTCGCCGGCCTCGTCGCCAGCGCCAGCGCCGTTGCCGCCGTCGCCGTCGCCGTCGCACGTCGCCGTCGCCGTCTTCGTCGCCGTCGACGTCGCTGTCGTCGTCGTCGCCTGTCGCCGTCGCCGTCAAAGTCGCCGTCGTCGCCGTCGTCGCCGTCGCCGTCGCCGTCGCCGTTGCCGCCGCCGTCGTCGCCGTCGTCGCATTTGCCGTCGCCGTCGGCGGGATCGTCGTCTGTTCGTCTCGCCCGTCGTCGTCGTATCGTCTCGTCTTCTCGTCGACTTCGACTTCGACGTCCGCCGTCCCCGTCGTCGTCGCCGTCGCCGTGTCTGTCGCCGTCGTCGTCGTCGTCGTCGCCGTCGCCGTCGCTGTCGTCGTCTTCGTCGCCGTCGTCGTCGTCGTTGTCGCCGTCGCCGTCGTCGCCGTCGTCGTCGTCGCCGTCGTCGTCGCCGTCGCGGTCGTCGTCGCCGTCGCGGTCGTTGTCGCCGTCGCCCTCTTCGCCGTCAGCGCCGTTGTTTTCGTCGCCGTCGTCGTCGCCGTCGCCGTCGCTTTCGCAGTCTCCGTCGCCGTCGCCGCTGCTGTTGCCTTTGCCTTTGCCGTCGCCGCCGTCGCGGTCGACGTCGCTGTTGTCGTCGTCGTCGTCGTCGCCGTTGTCTCGCCGTCGTCGTCGCCGTCGTCCTCGCCGCCGCCTCTTCCGTTGTCGACGTTGCCGTCGCCGTCGTCGACGTCGTCGTCGTCGTCGTCGTCGTTGTCGGCGTCGGCGTCGTCGTCGTCGTCATCGTCGTCGCCGCCGTCGCCGTCGCAGTCGCCGTCGCCGTCGCCGTCGCCGCCGCCGTCGCCATCGCCGTCGCCGTCTTCGTCGTCTTCGTCGTCGTCGGCCGTTCTTCGCCGTCGCGTCGCCGTCGTCGTCGTTCGCGTCGTCGCCGTTGCAAGTCGGCGCGTCCACTCGCCGTTGTCCGCCGTCGTTGTCGTCGTCATCCAGTCGGGGGCAGGGGCGACAACGCTTTTGCCTCGCCGTCGCCGCCGCACGTCGCTCGTCGTCGCCGTCCGCCGTCGTCGTCGTGCCGTCGTCGTCGCCGTTCGTCGTCGCCATCGTCCGTACGTCGTCGTCGCCGTCGTCGTGGTCGTCGTCGTCGTTGTAGGGGGGGAAAGGGTGGTGGTCCGTCGCGTCTCTGTCGCCGTCGGCCATCGGCGTCCGCCGTCGCGCCCGTCGTCGCGTCCGTCGTCGCGGCTCTTCGCCGTCGGTTCGTGCCGCCGCCTTACGCCGTCGTTCGCGCCGTCGCCGTCGCGCCGCCCGCTGTCGCCGCGTCGCCGGTCGCCGTCGCCGTCGCGTCGCCTCGCATCGCGTCTGCCGTCGCCTCGTGTCTCTGTTCGTCGCCGGTCATCGTCGTCGTCGTCGTCGTCGTCGTCGTCGTCGTCGTCGTCGTGGTCATCGCCGTTGTCGCCGCCGTTGTCGTCGTTGTCGTCGCCGTCGCCGCCGCCATCGTCGTCATCGTCGTCGCCGTCGTCGTCACCGTCGTCGCCGTCGTCGTCGTCGGCGCCGTCGTCGTCGTCGCCGCCGTTGTAGTCGTCGCCGTCGTCGTCGCCGTCGCCGTCACCGTCGCCGTCGTCGACGCCGTCGCCGTCGCCGTCGCCGTTGCCGTCGCCGTCGCCGTCGCCGTCGTCTTCGTCGCCGTCGGCGTCGTCGTCGTGGTCGTCGTCGTCGTCGTCGTGTTCGTCGTCGTCGTCGTTGTCGTCGTCGTCTGCTTCGTCGTCGTCGTCGCCGTCGTCGCCCGTCGCCGTCGTCGTCGTCGTCGCCGTCGCCGTCGCCGTCGCCGTCGCCGTCGCCGTCGCCGTCGGCCGTCGCGTCGCCGTCGCCGTTCCCGTCGCCGCCGGGCTGCCGCCGTGCGGCGACCGGACGGTCGTCCGTCGCCGTCGCCGCCGTCGACGTCGCCGTCACCGTCGCCGTTTCCGTCGTCCGCCGCCGTCGCCGTCGCGTCGTCTCTTCGTCGCCGTCGTCCGTCGTCGTCGGTCGCCGTCGACGTCGTCGTCGTCGTCGACGTTGCCGTCGCTGTCGCCCGTCGCCGTCGCCGTCGCCGACGCCGTCGCCGCCGTCGCCGTCGTCGTCGTCATCGCCGTTGCCGTCGTCATCGTCACCGTCGCCGTCGCCGTCGCTGTCGCTGTCGCCGTTGCCGTCGTCGTCGTCGTCGCCGTCGTCGTCGTCGTCG